CGGTTAATGCCAAAGTGCTCCTGGGGAAATGTATAAATGTTATCCTGGCCTTCATGACTGTCATCTTGGTGTGCGTTTCTACTATTGCAAAGTTCATTGCTCCTATGATGAAGAGCCGTTTTCATATCATTTGCACTTTTTTTGCAGTGACACTGCTGGCAATATTTTGTAAAAACTGGGATCATATCATTTGTGCCATAGAAAGGATGATTATACCAAGATGAAGCTGCTGGTCTGGCTGCTTTCTTCTTTTTTTTTTTCCTTCCCCTCCCTGTTTTTTAAGTGCTGTATGTATAGAAATTATTTTTTGTCAGTTTAGATGTGCAGACTGGATGGAGAAGGCTACAAAGACTCTTGGACTTTAAGGTGTAAATACATAAATGCATACTTGTTGGCAGTCACTTGCCTGTTCAATCAGATTGTGTCTAATTGCCTATGTCTGTGATGAACTGCTCGCTTACGTCAGTCTTCTGCCTTAATCCAACGGGTTTTCCACTTTACAGACCCACACCCACAAAAGATGGTATGATGCTCTGGGAGGGATCCAAGCCACTGCAAATGTCAGGTGTGCTTTTTACTAGACTGGAGTGCAAAGAGTGTGATCAGGAGGGAGTGCACCGTAATGTGTATCAGCCCTGTTAGACTAGTAAGTTAATTTTCTCTCTGAATCCAATTAGAATGATAAGCCAAATTATACAGTCATATGTATTAATGGTTCTTGATTCTAAATCAATGGGGTTTTGTATATGGGGTTTCTAGTTTTCAGGACCAGCAAAACTTGATGCTTCTGCTAGGAACCCTTTGCACAGAGAGTTTATTGTTTGTAAATTAGACCAGTGATGACTACTGACCACAGTTAGGGGTTGCTCTATCCTGGCACTGTTCCTTACCACACTCAGGAAATGCATAAATGTGGCATAAGGCTTCCGAAGATGAACTGAATTGAATGACAAGATCTCCAGGCCACTTTGTAAAGGAGTCAAGAAGCAAGTAACTGGTGGGTAAGTTGTCATGCAGACCAAAGCACTCGCTTCCTTCAAGCCCTGCAAGCTGCAAGGGGAAAGGAGTACACGGGAAGGCAAGGTTTAGGTTAGCCTTTGTCAGCACTGCGTTGTTGGGGTGCTCTAACTGAATGCAAAGCAGATCGGTGGTGGGACTCTGGGTACAGTGGATTTCCCTTTCTGGTAAAGATTAAGAAGCATGAGGGAACAGGTCCTTAGGGGAGCAGGGAGTTAAACTTCTGTAAATACACAAACACTGTGCAGACTCTCTTGGCAAACATTCCTGAAAATAATGTATTAGCATACAGTACCACTACTAGGAGACAGGGTTGGCTTTCTCTTCCTACTGGCATTTATTTTGCTTGATTAAAGAACTGCAAAAAAATTTTTCCTGAAATCTGCTTGGCTTTCAGCCATGATGTAAAACAAGATCTTTAATAAAAAATTAAAATAATAAAAAAAACCCCAACAAACCAAACCACCACAACCAGAATTCTTGTCTTCACCAGAAGACAGCGTCTCCAGTTATTTGATGTTCAGTGTTGCTTACTTTGAAAATAATTGTCATGACAGATTTTCTTTTCAGTTGCAGTATTTGTTATGCTGGTTTTACAGAGGGTGGAAGGGGGTTACTCGCTGTGTGTATGTGTTTTTAATCAAGTGCAATAGTTGGTGTAGAAATGCAGAAGACCTGATCCTGAGGAAAGGGAGTGGGGGAGGGGAGGCAGGGGAAGAACTTTGACATTTTACCATGATTGGATTAACAGTGAATCCAGTTTTTGTGGCTTCAGGGACTGAAGGAAGGACAGAATTAACTGCATAAATAATGATATGACTCAGCATTTAGAAAATTCAGTTAAAACACTTTAAAAATCGTTAAAGAATTCTTTATACGTGCTACATCTTTGAACAGAGAAATCAGGAAGGATTGTGCTGGCTCACAGGCACTGGACATGGATCAGATCAGGCACACCCATGTTATCCTGACCCCACCCTGCCTCATCTTCAGAGGAAGATGGAGTGGAAAGCAAAAGTCCCGCTGAGAGGGATATGCCTTTATAAAGCCCAAACTTACCACTTGGTTTATCCCTGGCTATGTCAGGAAGAATTATGATATAGATACATTCTTCTTTTCTTTAATGTTTGTTTGTTCTTCTCTTTGCCTTTACCCCTCTATTCCTGGTATCCCCTGAAGAAGGAAAGAGGTATTGTGTAACGTATAAAACTTCTCTGTCTTAACTGTTGCTTGTGCTCCTGCTCCTGTTCGGTTCGGGGAGACCTTTCTTCTCGTGTCTCTTAACCCATTTCGGCACTGTATGCGTGCATTGCAACAGGCCTTCACCCCCCACCTTCCAAGTACCTGCACCGAGCCTCCTTTTACAGCCAGCTCATAAACTGAGGGGATTGCGTCCACCAGTGCACCTCATAAACTTATCTTCACAGGGAAGTCGCTTCCACAATGTTAAAAAGATTAAAAGGAAAAAGAAGTAGCTCTTTCCTGGCCTTTACATCACAAGAAAGGGTTTCCCTTGGTTTATTTTTATGCCCTTTTGATGTGTCCCGAGATCCTCTTGGTCTTTTCCACTGTTTCAATATAATTTGTTCCTATCTTTATTTTTGAAAAGGCGTATAATATCTTTTTATAGTCTGTACTTTCCACTTCTTTGGCCGATGAGTGTGCTTCTATTCAAAGTCCCTTGTTTTCTGAAACATTTTCCTAAATTCCACCACCCACTTTACTAATCAGCCCTATGACTTTTTTTTATTCCCCTCATTTCCATAGGCCACAAGATTATACATCCATTACGAAAAACCAAGGGTCCTGGTACTGATCCTCAGAAAGCTGTGACTCTTCATGGTGTTTTCTTGCCATCTTTATTATAATCTCCATTCTTCTATTCAGTTTGCACAGCCACCTTCTGGTTTGGCCACTTGAGAAAACACTGTTTGTCTAGCATTTTGTTAAATGGCTTCAGGAGCATACACGTGCGAGAGAGAAATACCACGTGTTAATTTTTATGTAAGAAAAACTCCTTTGCCTGTTGCATGGTTTCATGTTTAAAGAGAGAATCCTCCCAGTGCTAGGGTATATAGTTAAAAATACAATGTCGGGTAGTCTCAAGGTCAGGCAGGAAAAAGGTTAGTCATTTTTCTTAAAACAAAGGAAGTTGGTATGGTACGACCTGGGGACGTGAAGGCTTCTGCTCCAAGGGCATCCTATTACAATCCTGGAAGATGACCTCAGTGCAACATGCGGGTGGAACATAAAATCAATGGGCCTATGAAAGATTGCTCCCTGTCTTGATAAAATCCGATTGGGTCCAAATTGGAAACGGAAGGGTCTTGCGTTTCCGTATTGGCTTTCTATCTGGCAGAGGACACAGAAGAAGCTGTAAAGGCTGCATAATGTTACTCATGCAAATTAAAAGAACCCTAATTGGTAAATGGGCACAGCATTTCTCTAGGTTATTTTCCCTGCTGGATTTAAATCACTGGAGGATGTGACACGCATCAAGAAATTAAAACAAGATGTAAAGGGTAAAAGCCTGCTTTTGGGTGAAACTGCTATAGTTTCGCACAGAGTAAGGATGCAGTGCCAGGAGCTCTGCCAAGTGGAAGGCCACCCAAAAGGGAGGGAGGACTCCCCTCCTGCCTTCACCCTCCTATTTCTTACCTTGGGCTGACGCTGGTGTGTGTTGCAGTCTTCCATGTGCCACGTTAGCTCGCTGGGCCGGAAGAAAAACCTAGAGACTTAAAGGGCTGATGGAAAGGTCTCGCAAGTGCGAAGCGGGGACAAAAAGGGAGATGAGCCTTTTTCTTTCTTGCTGCAGCGGATCATTAGCTGCCCCTAAAACTGCACTCTAGGCAGCCTCCCTGCAGAACGATGGGGCAGCTTCAGCACAGAAAGGTCCTTCCTAGCTTTTGCCTACAGGGAACAGACATGAACAGCACCTGGATGTGGTAGTACAGGCTAGCCAGCTGTGTCTGTACCTGCTATCGAAAGCAGGCTGGTGGCTGGGCGAGCCAGGGCTGATGCCTGTGCCACTAACTTTGGTACCAGCAGCGCTTCCCCTGCTTAGGCTGGGGTTACACGAGTGCATGTATCTGGCCTGCAGTCAGAGCTCTGCTTGCTGTGGAAGTATGCTTAGGCCATCCCAAACAGTTGCAAGACCTCTGTTAGTGAGAGCTTGTTCAGCTTCTCAATGGGTTAACCGTGTTCTGTCAGGATACCCTTTGCTTTTACGTTCTCATACAACACATCAGGCATTCTTGGTGTACTCCTTACACTTACTCATCGTGAGCCTCTAAAACACTCCCACTCAACAACAAGTTGCCAGACAGTGTCTTCTCAGCTTGGTGCTGCCTGGTAGTCAATTATTTCACTTCACTTTGACAGTAGTTCTCCAACTGAAAAGCCCTTCACTTAGTTGTTAATACCTGTTCTCCAGGCTCTTGGCAGCTTTTTTGCTCAGAGGTTTCTGGACGTTTAGTTTCTCGTGAAGGTTAGCACAATTTTCCTGCTCTCTCCCATTTCAGCGTTCAGGTCTAAATTAGGTTTCCTCTAAAACTTGTATAATGTATCCCTCCACTAGCTTCAACTATAACTCCACTATTGTTGAACATCCAATTAGTCATTGACAGCGCTGAATGAGACCCAGCTTAAATTCCTTCTCCTGTCTGCTTTACGTTGTAAGTGTTCGTGCAACTTCTCATTTTACCGTGCTCCTGTGATGTCTACTTGTTCTGAATTCTTAGAGAAGCACTATCAAATCTGACTGCTTTTTAGTTTAATATCAAAATGCTTGTGTTATGCAGCGCCTCTGCTGCAGGACCATCACATATAGATCTGATATCTGCACTACATAAAGGATATTTAAAAGCCAACGGTTTTCCTTGAACAAATCATGACTGCTTATCTGGGGAACAGAAATTCAATAGGTGAAGGCAGTTTGCTGTAGGAAAGATACAGGATCCACTGACTGGAAGTTGAAGCTAGACAAATCCAGTGTAAGCATAAGCTTCAGTTTTGTAATCGTAAGGGTGACAAGCTAAATATTAGCTACTGAGTAGCATAAACACAGACTCCAACATTTGAAGTTAAAGTTGAATGCTGCTGTTCAAAGGGGAATCAGTTCAGGATTCTGTTTGATACAAAGTCAACTGCATGATCACAGGTAGTGCTTTCTGGAGTTAAAATCAATGAACAAGAAATTATTTGGGGA